ATATTACTTTTGTACTTAGATACAAAGAATAATACTCTAACTCATCTCTTAAATTTTTTTTCTCTCAGGTCCGGTTATGGACCAGTCCAGAACCGGACTGGAACTTGGGTCCGGTCCACTACCCGTCCACATAGGTCCGGTCCCCAGTCCGGGACACTCCCGGACCGCAGATTTGGTCCGGTCCTGAGTCCAGGTGAAGTATGCCCGGACCGGACCAGGACCGGACTTCAGCAACTATAGTGTCAACCGTTATGTTAGAACAATGTTCAGACCAATGTAAATGAGCATGCAGGTATATTTATCGGAATCCTATTTCTGTATAGTTTGGTTCAGGAACGACAAAGCACAACGAGTAGCATGTAAGAGTTGAAGATGAGCGAAGTTCGAACAGTTGAGTGTGAGTATGTGATTATGTAATACGTTGCTTGACAAATCACGAACGACGGCACAAAAACTCCGTGCCGATCTCCGGACGGAGATACGTAAACCCGCCCCGCATACCGTGCATCATATCCTCAAACAGCATATCTAATCTATTATTATTTCTTCGCGTGCTGTACTCCCCTCTCCTGAGTTCTATGCTTCAGGAAATCCGGTGTTGCATTAATACTCCTGATACAAATCAGTCTATGGAGACTGCTGTGCAGCTGGTCTGCCGCTCATCTAGCGATGCGAAGAGAACGCGGGGCGCACTGTCACCATTTCCAATCGGGATGTAAAATGCCAATGTGTGTGACCTGAGATGCACTGACGCTATGATATATGAATCAACTTGTGGGGCACTAATCCGCCCTTCTCGCAGTGAGAATACTGCATACATTAATAAACAACATTAATAGGGTTAGACAGTTCAGCATGAAGCACGCAACATTAGAGCACATGCTATTAAATGTACATACAGATATAGAAGGACTAGCTGTACCATACTTGGTGCAAAAAGGCAATGGATGAAAACTGTTGTATTGCTACTGTGCAGTATGGATATGGCTTGCTGAGAGTATACTAACCGAGCTTTACAGAAGTGTGGAAAGCAGCAAGCATCCCAAAGGAAGGACAACACGTAGAACCGCAAACGGGTCCATTTGCTTCTATCATCACACAATAATTATGTTCTGAATGCTATGGAAAATATATTCATGTATTTATCTGAGTTGTATTATGCACTACAGTTTTACTCGCAGAACGTAATAACGAGGTTGACCTAAGGGCATATACCAACGATGTTAGGGACACTGTTTTGTATAAGTTTTGTACTACCTACATTGTCGGCTTCGCAAATAAGCTGCTCGACAGGGTCTTGCGGACTGTGTGCGGCCTCTGGACAATCCGCTGTCGTACCTGTTGCGTTGAAAGTTGATATCGTTAGGGAAGTAGTACCATCGAAGTGAACATGCAGTTGAACGCACAGTCCTGTCCTCTGCCATCGCAGCCATTCTCATACCTGAACCCTGCTGGCACGTTGAACTTGTGCCTACGCAAAAGACATGTTGTTAGGCTCCAAGCAAAACGGTCTGAAGAACGAACAATGAGGACATACGGAGGAATCAGCGAGATATCTGAGCCAGATCCGCTTCCCGGTGTCGTTGGGTTCTTGAGCGTGGTCTCGATGAGCGTACAGTTTTCTCCATTCTCACCGCATTCTCCGGTCTGCAGGAACCTATTATACTGATTGTGAGCGTGACGAAATGAAATGAAATGAATGCCCAAGAAACATACGCAATCGCAACTTCGAAAGGTCCGTTAGAAGTGAAAGGCTCTCCTGAAGAGACTGTTTTGCCGTTCTGCTGGAGTTGTGGCTGGAAGGTAGTCATTATAAAAGCTCATAAGTTGAGATGTTATAATGCGTACTGTGCCCTTGCCACACCTTGAAGACGGACAAATCAGTCATTGATCGATATGCAATTAATAACACAATGAAGACTCACTTGTTCTCGAAGGAGACCTTGTGCGTCTCAGCTATCACACCGGAAGCAGCTAGCAGTGAGAAAGTACGAAAGTTGGAGAGTGAGAATTTCATGACCATTGATTTTAGATGGGTGTTATGAACAGATGTCTAGATGTCTAGAGTTGTCCGGCTTTTTGTCTCGACCCCTGGGCTCATTGCACCTTTATTATCCACATAAAACAGCAGTACATGAATGTATCATATATTTTTATAGAACGCCCTCAAACACGATCCCAGGCGAGTGCTTATCCTAGCACGGGAAACATACACCGGGAAACGCTTAATCGCAGAGCATCGTAGTGTCGAATAAGCATCAGAATACCGACAGCATAGCACGATGACGAAGAGGCACTAACTAATCCTTGAGAGGAATCGAGCGAATTGAGACACTGTATGCGTCACGGCCGTAAGTATCCTTGTCGAGAATGGGATGGACGATTCATCGGAACGTTCTGTCGGATCACCATGCCGAAAACATGATCAATTTGTGGAAATTTTCTGTATTCTATATTACGTTCGTGGGTATTGCCAGTCGAACATTAATCCAACTTACCATTCGCGAATTGCAAAGAGGATCCTGTGACAAAAGGCCCATCAGGATCATGCACCACAGCAGAGGGCCGCCGACAAAATTTTCAAATTCGGAATTTACAAAACTGCACATAGTCAAGGGCCGATCCGAGTGTCGAGACAATGTCGGTGCTTATGCAAATTCGGAGCGGTGCATATGTTTGTACTGCATTTTATCATGTGTAGATGTGATTAAAGATGAACCAGCTGTCCTAAATTGGGGACAATTTGGTCCGGAAGAAAAAATACGAGCAAGGTTCCAAGTACTGTCAGAATTTCCATGACCGAGAAGGCTGAATCTGCTGGAATAAACGCAGACGGATCGATCTACTGTAGTCAAGTGGAGAAATTACCGAAACCACAGTAACCTCAAGGAATGCAGACAACTTGATGCTGAGTAACAAGTAGAGTATCGGCGAGTAGAACGATCCGATCAATAGCTAACGCAACCTTGCTAAGCTTCTCCTGTCATGAAACAAACGTGTTTCACTGCATTTCGTCATGTTAGACGAAGAGGAAAGACTTTCTGGCCCGTGGATGTCCGCTATTGTTAGTTAGATCAATGTTCCGACCCGACCAAGTACGAGCACGCGGTTAAAGAGTATTCTTGAGATAATGGGCCCAGGGAGCAATAAAGTAACGAGCAGCATAAGAGGGATAACACAGTCAAGGTGGACAAAGCGGTGTGCCAGGATTATGTGATATGACAAATCGAAGATAGCCTTGAGCAGTCACATGACCCGAGCTCCAGAGATTCTCTCGTCGACTTCCGACTACAATGTGCTCAGTGCATCAAGATATCGATCCTTTGTGTTCTGTATTATTACTTCATGAGCCCTATGTATTGTAAAATCCAGTGTTATGTTAATCTCCTGGTTCAAATTAAACTAAGAAAACTGGACCACTGGTAGTCTACTGTGGTCAAAACTTAAAAAACATTACCCTTTCCGACTGGGAAGTAAAATTGCAAAAGACAGGACCTGCACAATTATAGTATAATATCAACTTATAGAGAATCAAAATTCTTCTGACAGTATGAAACCTAAAAAAACAAAAAGACTTGACAATTTAGCAGGATACACACACCATTAGTACACATGCTAACTTGAGGGTGTGCATGTACGTCTAAATTAAATGATTTCATAGTATTTGGTAATGATTGTTACAAAAAATTGACATTTATACAATGTAAAATAAACGTACCTTGCTGAAAGTATATTAATTGGGCTGCAAAAGTGAGAGAGAGCTGAGCAATCACCCTCCCCCAACAAAAAGAACATATTAAAACAAGATTTCTCGAGTAGAGTTACTACTCTTATCATCCCATATTTCTTCATTCTGTCAACTGTATTATATTCTCGAACCAATTAACTTTACAAAAGTCCTGAATTTGCAAAGACGCTACCCGAACCACATGGAAAGATTTAGAGAATACATGCGTTTACCTAAACTGCGCTTAAATTAAGTGCACTCAAATAATCGGGATAACATATTTAGCAGAAAGTAATGATCAGGTTGACCTAAGGAAAACAAACATAATCAGGTTAATATCACCCTTTTGCGTAAATGTTGTACTACCTACATTGCTTGCATTGCAGGAAGACGGTTTGACAGATACTGTACGATTGTGAATCGCCTCCGTGCAGTTTGCTGACGTGCCTATTTACAGAATCCCGTCTTTATTAGAGGAAAAGTTCGGCACACCAATAGTCAAAGTAAACGCACAGTTCAGGCCTGTGCCGTTGCAGCCACCCTCATATCTAAACGCCGCTGGTACATTGAACTTTTGCCTATCCGGGAAACCAGTTAGGCACCGGCAAGAATTATTTTGACGATAGAATAAACAAATGCGTACGGAGGAACGAGTGTGATGTTAGTGCTAGAGTTCCCCGAGTTCTTGAGATTGGTCTCGATGAGCGTGCAGTTTTGTCCATTCCCACCACATTCGCCTGTTTGCAAGAATCTAGAAATTCAATTGTGAGTACGAGGTAGCAGGATTATTACGCAAGGAACAAACGCTGTTGCGGATTCGAAGGTACTGTTCGCGGTGTATGTACTTGTTGATGAAACTGTCTTGTTCTTCTGCTGCAATTGCGGCTAGACAGAAGTCGTTAGAAATGTCCATAAAATAAGTTCTGGGCTGAAAAAGCATACTGTGCCCTTGCCACACCTTAAGTCAAAGAATTTGGTCAGTAACCAACACTCGGTGGGAAAAGGACTAGTACTAACTTGTTCTCGAAAGTGACCTTGTGCGTCTCAGCGAGCGCACCAGCGGCAAGAAGCGAGAAAGTAAAGAAGCGAGTGAATGAGAACAGCATCTTGATATATGTGTGGTGAGGAGATTGGTGCTAAGGTGTGCGGGCAAACGAGTAGGAATTTCTGTGCTCTTCCTACTCCCACTCGACTTGCAGTTGAATTTATTGTGTACGGATGTTAATGAGACAACAGCACTAGAATGCATCATGTGCTTCTGCCGTGTACCCCTCAAAGTCGATGCGAGACAAACACACATCCGAGCGCGAGGAACATATACCCGAATCTAGGTTATTGGCAGAGCATCGTGGAGTCTCGTACGGGACCCAAAAAACCGACAACATAGCTATTGCACAATGACGAAGGTACACCATTTCCCGAGACAAATTAACCGAATGGAAAGCAGTGCATCAGTTACAACCAAGTATCCTTGCCCTGAACGAGTGTTTCCTATTCGCTAGTTCAGGAACATGATCAATCCGTAGAAATTAGTGCTCCGTTCCGAGTTTGTGAGACTCGCCATCCGGTGCTAATTCGACCTGCCATCCGAAACCTGCGAGAAGTATCCTGTGATGAAAGGCGCATCATGACAATCTACCGCAACAGAAGATTACAGAAACAGAAAATTGTGCAATTCCAGCATTAGAAAAACCACACATTTGTCGTGTCGGAACCAATCAGCGGGTTATAGTCAGTCTTCAGACAAACCAGCTTAGAGCTAGAGCAACTTCCTCGACTCGGCTAAAGTGAAAGACACTGATCGCCGAACGGGCAACCGTTTAGCATTCTTAGGATAGATAGGAGTGTTACAGCGAAGTGGAGAACATAAGATGGTCTCATCGTCTCAGGAGTTAGGGGCAACTATGGAAGGACCTGTAAGTTCCTGTAACAGTGAGATCATGTGATCTATGTGGCGAAGTAAGTTTATATTATGTAACCTCGACCACCGACGCATTGTTTTGGTACTCTATGTCCAGTTAACAGGAAGAAATCCTACATTCTCAAAAACAAAGGCTCACGCCAAATAATAATTTTGAGTCGTTCCCAACTGATTTGACAGTACGAGGGAACTAAAACATACGTCAATTACACCTATTTATTCCTCCATTTTGCCCTCTCTTTGCCTCTTTTCTATTCGCTCTTTCATCTTCGTCCTCGCCTGTGCAGCAGCCCCTTCTAACCTACCGGCCTTAGCCAGTGCGAGCGTTAGGGCGTGTACGAGACCGACGTGGTTATGTCTTCGTAAACTATTTTCAAACTGCCGATAGAATTATCAATATATCAACCAATGCTTTATGACGTATTGGGTTGCTTAGGCGGTAACTCACAGCCCATCGAGTCCGCTTCTCGTTATCCTGTGATATCCGCGCGGCGAGTTCAGCGGCTATTAAATCGTTACCGGATGATTGAGCGGCTTGAAGCTGTGCCTCTAGCTGCGGGAGTTTATCCTCATGGATAGCCATGAGATTGAATTCAAGCTGTTATTTCAAGTAAGCGCATCTACTTTATTGAGAATGCGAAAGTACGCACAGAGCCGGGAGGATATGTGGCAATCCGGGCCTCAATAATTTCTCTTGCCTTCGCAACCCAGCCTTCCCCGCTCTCTGTATACGGTCCATGCCTCACAGGACATCTTTTTAACCCATCCAATTCATACACGCACCCCATCACTGGTAGATACACTACAAAATGATACGCGTCCTCCGACTCCTTGGGTAAGTTCAGCCCGTCCATGCTGATCACGTTTGGTGGAGAAAGTGCATTATGCGCCTCTCTTAAAAACTCCGAGCTCGTAATTGCCATTCCACGCGTCTGGGGATCCATACCCGTCGTGAATGACTGTAAGTCTCGTAGTTCCGGACCGAGAGTGATGGAGGGTATGTTGAGGAGGGCGTTAAGCACTGCGAGGGTTGCACATGCGTTATTAACGACTTGGTGTGCGAAGAATCCTGGAAAGGCGTCGTCGTATTCACCCGTCGCGCCTCCTCGTTCGTCCTGATTTGAAACCCATTTGAAGAGGAATATAAGTGCGTGGATGGGTTGAAATGTAGAAAGGACTGAGGACTCGAGTGAGTAGAGGTCGTCTACAGCAAGCTTTACGCCAAGCGTTTTTAAGAGCTCACTACGTGTGCGTGCCAATGTGATGTTGTGATGTCAGTAAATATGCACATAGATGGATTAGCGTGGTGATTCTGTACGTACGTGAATACACCCGGATCGGATTCTGTGAGCTGCCAACCACTTTCTTCAGACATTATAGCTAGGTGTTATGTACAAGCAAAACAAGAAAGCAGCCGTAGATATACCGACGAATTCAAAGTGAGAGCGCGTTCTCAAGTCGCGCTGGCACCGAGGCGCGTAAGGCTGACGCGTCGCGCACGTGATGAATTTATGAAACTCGAATCACATGGGGCATTTCACAATTCCTTACCTTAAAAAATAACTTGCATAATGATAAACATTATTTGAAATTTATTTTCCCATTTTTGACCAGTAAAAATTATAAACAAAATTTGTAATTTTCTTTATACAAAAACTAGACATTATTGTTAACATTTCTTCATTTGTGAAATCTTAAAATAAATAGAGATAATAATCTAAAACATAATTTCAAAACAAAATTAGAAATTTTCTTTTGAATTTTCTGTTATTCCTCTGTACTAGTAATGAA